CTCCGTGCATTATAAGCTTGGCCAAGTTTAATCTCTTCTTGAGGGGACCAAGGCCATTTTAAGAAAAAGAAGAAAGTGATCAATATATTTCCGATGAACTATAGTGATCGGATATTTCTCTTGACATTCTGATCAATATATTTCCGATGAACTGTACCATATATAGTGATCGGATTTTTTATTCGACCAAGTTGATCCGTTCATCCAAGTAAATATCCGTTTGTTACTTTTTAAAAGGATAATCCGATCTTTTTGAACGGAAAAAGCCTGGAAATTTTTCTCAATGTAGATATATGTGTCTTGCAATTTTTTGTTTTCTCTAACATTTTTACCAAAATCTTCTAACGCTGAAATGTCGTAATATTGCGACAAATAGTCGCGTTTCACTTGATTGCATGCCGCTCTTAAATCGTCGAGCTCCATTTAGCGCTCGCCGCTAACCGACCCCGACATGCTAAGAGCTTTCGTCTGCTCTTTCAAAGGCTTTAAAGCTTTCGCGTGGAATGACCGCCAGATCTCTCGGTCGTCTGGAAGTAACAACAATAGGAATTGCAATAACAATTTTTCGATTGAATCGGCTACATATGAGCAAGAAATGAAAAGAGAGTGGCGGCTACAAGCAAAAAAGGAAGGTCCACTGAGAATATTTCAATTAAGAGAATAAAAGTAAAGAGTTTACTTTCAGAGAGTATAGGTATTGACGTGATTGTAAAACGAAGTTTTTTTCAATTACAAACGTAGGAAGTAAATCAATTATATTTTTTCTATATTTTAATATATATATTCCTCTTTGGTTATCCAGTTTACGGATTCTACAAGATTTATTTGTATTTTTATATCCATCCATGTTTAATAATATTTAAAAAATTGTTGTTGGAAACAAATATACATATATATTTGCAAATTCACTTTGTAAATTATACTTCTTTTACGAAATATAATAATAATTCTTGTCCAATAATAATAACTCTAAGAACAAAATTATTAATTTATTTAAAATGAAATAATTAAATAATTAATTATTCTTACTCTTGTGTAACGTAAAAGTAACATACAATACAAAAATAGTATTTATAAATATACATTATTATTACATATAAAATGATACAATGGTAATTAAACATAAAATGACTAAAGAGATCGTTAGTGTGCTTGGAACGTATACGTGCAACTGTACAGACTTAAAGTGAAATAAACATTTATTGTTGAAATCCAAATAAGGCTGCACGAACGTTGTGGATTATACCGTTGCCTCGGGATGAATGAATGTCTAAAACCGCCGCTGTGCCGGAAACAGTCGGACGCGAGCAATAAAAATAATTGTCCGTGTAGCAACAACCAGCATGTTAACTGCAGCTCGCTGCAAGATGGCGGCGGAAACAAAGAGCTGGGAATGACGTTGTTTACGAGCGCCGA